GAAGCAGGAGCTCGTGGTTCATCAGCTTTGCCTTTCCTAGGAGTTGTACCTGGTGCTGAATGAAAAACCCACTGTGGAAACAGCACATCCAGGAGCTGCAGAGCTCAAAGCAAGCTGGTGTCAGCAGTCAATGGCATTAAACAAAGGCAGGCTGAGCAGCCAGGAGCAAAGGTACCATCTTGGCTTCACCAATGATGTTTTGGGCATCAACCACATGAAAACCTCAGCATCCCAGGCAGGAGCAGCCAGCTGGTGCTCTGTGGCCTATTGCAGGTCCTGGGTTTAACACACACCCTGTAAAGGTTTCAATGTGCACCACTGCCCACAGAAACACCACCTAAGCCTGACAAAGGAGGGGATATAAATAAGACAGAAGCTTCCCGACTTCATAGGGACAAAGCCTATGGCTGTGTGTCCATATGATTCTTTCTTTAAGCTCAGTTTAGCAGGGTAGTGGTTTACTACAAATACCCTTTAACTGAACGAAACAAAAACCCCAAACCAGACATGCTTCAGTATCTTCAAGCCAAACCTGAGCCTCCTCCAGCTCTCCAAGTACGTACCAAGGCTCAGCACAAGTCAAATAAGCTTCTTTGATAAACAGATGTCTTTAGTTCTGTTCTCCAAAGCCTGCAGCTCTCCATTGCTGGTATTAAGGGGGGGTTTTCCCTGCTGGGTTTATATTCAGGCATGATCTAGACCAGGTCTAGTGGAAAGGTTGGAACTGGATGAGCTTTAAGATCTCTTCCAACCCAAACCATTCCATGATGATGGAATTACTGGCATCATCCTTGGATATAAAAATCAAACGATGGCATCTCAAAAGCCCTACCTGGGATGAGGTGAGTTCACCACATAAAGAGGACGTCGGGTCGGAAAGCAAACCTGATGGATCAGGCAGGCACACGGAGCCACCAGCACACACAGACTGCGGTTCACACTGGATCAAGGAGGCCACAACACTCAGGGCTTGACTTTCCTAATGGTAGGAGTCAACTGGGATGCACAGCAGGGTGATCCCTCGGTGACAACAGCAATTACCTGCTCTCCCCAGGCCCTGGTTAATAATGGTACCCAAGCTGAGCCATCCCCACGCGTGCCGGCGCGAGCTCCCGTTCCTGTTCCGCAAGCTGCAGGATGGACACAGCCCAAGGAGCCCAGCACCTCTCCCTAGAGCACACGTGCTCCATCTGCAATGGAAACCACCCTGGGGAACCCCTCCTGGGGCACTTCAGTGCTCACCCCATTAACCTGCAAGCAGCGCCCTCCCCAGTGCCATAGACAACCAAAGCAGTGACCAGGCTTCCCCTCTTCACTGCATGGGATGGGGAGGAAATCCAGGTTTTCTGGCATTTCTGCTTCTATTTCCTGCTGAAAGGACTGCTTTGCCACAGACTCCATGTATTGCTCACAGTCTGGGTTAAGAAAAGCAACTATAATTACTTGAGCCTGACAACGTGGCTCAATGGAACAGAGGAAGCTCAAACCCCATGGAGATGCCTGCAGCTTGCCCCATGGTTGGTCTGGTACCAGAGAAGCTCCTGTTTCACATCAAACACTGCTCCTCACCCCAGGCAGGTAGCTTTGTGCCAGATCATCCCTCTCAGCTCCATGCAAGTGCTCACCAGCTCCAAGCAGCGCTGCCCAACGTCATCCATCCCACCTGGAAATCCAGGAGGCTCTGGGGAGTGCTCTGCCCCACAAGGCTTCATTTGCTCTTTGATGAGGAGTGGGTGAGAGCAGCGGGTTAGTGGAAGCACGCTGAAGACACTCGGTCTCCAGACGACATCCCATGCGATGATGGATGAACCAGGTTACAGAAGCAAGGAGACCTTTGGAAGGTAACCAAAGCAGAGCACCAGCCCCTCAAAGGCCTCAGAAGGTGATGAGATCCCCCCCTCTTTGCTATCATGTAGTAGCTCATCAGGGATCACGTATTAGGCACCACAGGAAGCACAGAAACCCCAAACAGAAGGCAGGACTGCTCCATCAGGGCACGTTCCACACCAAACCGACACCACAGAGCATTAGGAGTCAATCTGGGCGATGTTTTCCCTTTTTGTTTGCTTTGCTGCAGTCAGTAATTATTCTCTCTGTGGTGGCCACACCTCCTGTAAAGGGACTTATTTAGAGCATGCTCCTTTGGCTGGGCAAGCTTTCATCCCGGAGAGCTCCGTCCCGCCTGGAACAGCGCTGCCTGCGCATCCACACCAGGAAGGATGCACAAGTGGGATTTAAGCAGCTTAGTCCATAGACCAGCTCCATAGTTTATCACTGGAGTAAGAAGCAGTGATGATTAAATCCCATCGAGATTGGATTTAGGAATTACCCAACAACAGCTCAGGAATCTGTTTATGTGGCTTAACAAAAGGCAATAAATTAACTCAGGGAACCTGAAGCAAACTCCCCCCTCAACCATTCACTTGTTAAAGCCTGGGACAGAGGCAATCCACGTTCCTCACAACCCCAGTTTAAGCTGGTTTTAGATAAGACTCCAGACTCCAAGGCCCTGCTTCCCAGCACAGTGGGAAAGGGCTCTAGAGGAGAACTCATCACCCACACTCCTGGGCTGTCTCCATTCATCTTACAGCATTGACCATACTCTGAGCAGCAGCTTCCTTCCACTCACACCGCACCCATGTGTAACTGTCCTTCTATCACATTAAATACGAACTATCACACCCAAAAGCACATCCTCAATAGCAGAGAGAACTTTTAAAGCACAGACATGACAAACGGGTTTCTAGAAAGCTGGAAAATTACTCCCCATGCTTCCCTTTGGAAAAACAAAGCTATTTCTAAGTGTGGCTACGTTGGCATTTCAGAAGCTTTCCACACCAAAACACCCTCCCTAGGAAGGCCTGTATTTAAAGCAGAGGAGCTCCAAACTCGTCCCTCCTGGGATATATGGGTGAGTGGGTCAGGGATAATCAATGCCAGGGCTAATGAAACCATGCCCTTCCTTTACCAACCAAAACACATCCACGAAACAGGACGTGGAAGCTCTGAGTGAACATTTCCAGCACACACCACCTCTCCCTATAGCAAAGGGGGTAAAAAAGGATTCATTTAGATCTCAGATCCTCTTGGAGCGTTTGACTTGTCCATTTTTGAGCTACGGGAAGAAAGTAACACACGATTCCAAAGAAAAGCCCAACTCAAAAGCAAACCCACTCAAAGCAAACCAAATGATGCTTTTTCCCCCTCTCTTCTTCCCCAAGGAATCTTGTTCTGCTCCAGACCCACTAAGGGATGAACTCCGGTGCTTCCAGAGAAGGATGAAGCCCCAAGCACACTGCCCCTCCCCTGCAACAGCCCCTCTGCAGCAAGAGGAAAGGCACAAAGCTCCCGTGCAGGCAGGAACAGCCTAGAACAGGCACAAGAACCCGGGATGAGCGGCTCCGCGTGCAGCCGCCGCTTCGGGAGCACCCGGGTTCAGGTCGCTGCCGTTCTCATCCGGATGCTGCAGAAACACAGCTTTAGCAGCATTTAACCCCAAATCACCCCGAGCCACCACAGGGCTCCCCATCCGCGGATTCCATAGAGGATCGCAATCATTCCCTGGCTGAAATGACTCGCATCGCCTGCACCTTGCTCGGCTCCAGGACCAGCTTCCAGCGCTGAACCGGGTGGACCTGGCCACTGCGGTTTACCATTAACCCGGGCTTCCCAGCCCGCTCTCTAGGACGGGGAGAACACGGCCACGTCTTTACCGTTCCGGGCTCGTTTCCTCCCGTGCTGCGCTCATCCCGGAGCCCGGCGGTGCAGGGAAGGAGCGGGCAGCTCCCTCCATCCTCCACAACAGCCTCTTCCAGCGGCCAGCTCCGCACCCGCGGTGACAACAACGCGGAGCCGGGAGCAGCCCCGGCTCGCACCCGCTTTGTGCCATCGCCTTTCAATGGATCTTATTGTTCCCCCTCCGCTCCTTCCGTCCTCCCCGCACCAGTGCCTTTTCCCGGCTATTGCCCAAATAACAACGCGCTTCCCCCCCCCCCCCCAACATTCCCAGTTCCCATTCCCGTTTTCCAGCCGTTTGATCACATCCCCACCAACTCGCTGCCAGCAACACGTTGCCCCCCCCCCCGGGAGGAGGGTTACATCGGGGGGGGGGGGGAGCGAAACCAGTTTGTACCCCTATACCCCCCCATATATGCACATACACCCGCAGCGCGGGTCACAGTCCCCCCCGAGCCACGCATACACGGGGCCTATTTAAGCCCCCACCCCCCAGCCCCATTCACACAATGCCCCCCCCCGTGTTACAACAGCACCTCAATGACCGGTTGTCCTGGTGGCGAAAAGCAGTTTATACCCCCCCCATACAACCTGCCTTGCATCCCCCCCGAAGACCCCCCCCATAACCACACGTGGACAGGGCCTGTTTAAGCCCCCCCAGCCCCATTCACACAATGCCCCCCCCGTGTTACAACAGCGCCTCAATGACCGGTTGTCCTGGTAGGGGAAAGCAGTTTATACCCCACCCCATATATGCATACAGCCCACCCTGAACCCCCCCATAACCACGTGTGGACAGGCCCTGTTTAAACACAGCCCCCCCCCCCCCCGTGTTACAACGGCGCCTCAATGACCGGTTGTCCTAGTGTGGGAACGCAGTTTATACCCCCCCATATACGCATACAGCCCACTCTGCACCCCCAACCCCCCCCCATAACGTGGACAGGGCCTGTTTAAACCCTCCCAGCCCCATTCACACAATGCCCCCCCCGTTACCACAGCACCTCAATGACCGGTTGTCCTGATGGGGAAAGCAATTTATACCCCCCCCCATATACACGCATACAGCCCACCCTGCACCCCCCAACCCCCCCCCATAACCACGCGTGCACAGGGCCTGTTTACCCCCCTCCCTTACACCAACCGGTTATTCCGGGTTGGGGGGGGGGGTGTCTCACCACACACTAACGCCGTGAGGGGGCCACACGCTGCGGCCCTGTCCCCCGTACCCCGCCATGTCCCCGGCGGGGCGGGCCCGGCCTCACCTCAAAGCGGCTCTTGGTGACGCCGTTCATGTCCCTCCGCATGGCGGGGCCGGGAAAGAGGGGGGGTAACGGGGGGGATGCGGCGGCACCGGGACGGGGAGAGGGGGTCCCGGTGCTCCGCGGCCTCCGCCGGCCGCGCCTGCTCCGGCCTCAACTTCAACCCAAAACAAAAACACTCCGCACCTGCCAGCAACGCGCCCGCTCATTGGCCAGCGCCGGTAAGAACGAGCCCCCACCTACCCCATAAGCCACCGCCCGCCTCTCCCGGGTCCTATCGCCCCCCCCCCGGGGGGGGGGGCACGGCAGGGATGTGTGGGGGGGTCGCGGTGTGGGGAGGGTGGGAATTAAGGGGTCCCCCCCCTCCTGCCCCGCCGCTCCCTTCCGGGAGACCGCGAAGTTTGGCCAATCGGAGGGCGAGGCTGGCGTGACGTCACGGTGATGTCATCCCCGCGGGAAAATCAAGCGTGGCTGAGCTCCCCCCCCACCCCAAAAGCGCCGCAGCGAGCACACACCGCCGTGTACCAAAGGGGTTTATTGGCGTGTAAAGAAACGCGTTTCTCCGCGATATTGCCCCCCAAAAAGGCGCCGTTACAAACCCAGCCGCGTATTTACACCATCAGCACGTTGTCCTCCAGCCCCTAATCCCCTTCCAACACCCAGGATCCATTCGGCTTCTGTCTCATTCGCACCTTTTGCAGGGTTTTTTCTCTTTCCAATACTGAAAGATGTAAAATAATCGTCCCAGAGACGGCAAGGAATCTATTAAAAATAAACCTTTTTGTCACAGACCGAACAGCCACAGGGTCAGAGCTCTGGTCTGTCTCTGTCACATGATTTATGTCATGGGATGACACAAGGAAAACAGGGCACCAAAATGGGGTGAAAAGCGTCCAACTGGTGCTCTCTGAGAGGAGACATGGTTCCCAAGAGGAATTCAGGATACTGAGCTTTGCTTGGGTGAGATCACTCCTTTCCAACCCATCGGTGTGGTTATTCGGACACTGAGCGGTGTTCCCTTGGATTTCCAGCGTGATTCAGAGCAGAAAAGGCCAAGCCCAAAGAACCCCCCCTGAAATCCCCAGTGCTGACTGAACACTGCTTTTATACCTTCACCCATCCCAGAGCAGCTCAAAGGGCGCTGGAAAACAAAACAACTCAAAACCTCCCCCCCCCTTAAAACCAGTGCATGATGAGGGGGAGCAGGAGCCACTTCCTTCTTCCAGGAAGCCCACATCCAGCGGGTCCGGAGCTGCAATCCTGGATCAGTTTCTTCCCTCCATCCTCTGCAATCCCAGAGCTCCAACATGTTTGCTCCAGGTTGACTCTGATTCCCTTTGATTTACCACATTCCCATCTTCTTGGTGCATGGGAGATGTGAAAGGGGAAGCTACAGGCTGCAAACCAGGAAGAGGAAATGGTGGGAAATACAAGGAAAAGCAATGCAGGGGCTTGGGGAAATTCAGGCTCCTGAATTCCACTGAAGGCAGGAGGAAGAGGTGGAAAATCCCTACAATTAAAAGCTTTGAATAAGCTTTAAAGCAGCAACTTGTAAGGAGCGGACTAGGAATCTCTGTGGAATCTTCCCCAAAACACGAAGTTTCATCCCAATCCCACTGGGAAAACCCTGGCTTCTGGGAATAAACAGTAAAACCCCCTGGGAGCAGGTAGATGATTCAGATGTGCTCCCAGAGCTCTCATTTCCTGCATTCCTCAGTGAATCACACTGAACTGCTTGGCAAAATAAAACCCTCTCCTGAGTCTCTTTTCCTTTCAGGGAAAACAAGACCATAAAGGATGCCCGAGTCATGCTCCCAATTCCAGCCAAAAGAGGAAAAATTGCCATCTTTGAGGGAAATCCCTGCTCTGGCACAGCTCTGTTCCCAGGAGGGGCAGCCAGGGGTCCTTTTCCAGCAGGGATATGAGGCAGCAGCACTTGTGAGTGGTACCAGAATCACCAGAAACAAAGGGAAAACAAGGCAAACCCCCAGATGAAACCCTGGAGGGTTCAGGAACCGGGATAAGCCCTGTCTGTGGCCGTGCCCACGCACAAGGCATGCTATTGCCATCACTGGAAGCATCCATAGTGGGGAAGCACTGTGGGCAGGACCAGGATGCAGGTCATAGCTCCAGGGATGCAGTGGGGGAAGCTCGAGGCTGAAGCCAACAGAGTCCCTTTTCCATTCAGATTTGCTTCAACATTCCACAACTTCACCACTTTCCAGGGCAGAGCAATTCCCAAGTTCCTGAGGCTCTCTGGGCTCTACATCACACCAGTAAAACTGAAGCATTCCAGCACCTCAATAAATAGCTAAACCAGAAGGGAAGTCCAACAAAGACAGCAATCCTTCATCACCAGGTTGGGAATTGAATCCTGCTATCCATCAGATCACAGAGCGGGATTCAGATCAGGGGAAGGTGAAGTTGTTCAGCCCTACACTGGCTTGGGCACTGAATGAAGAAATGCCACAAGAATCATATCAGACCTTATTGTTTTCTTTTCCTTCCAACCACCCTTTAAAAATCCAGCCCTAAAATCAAACTTCCTTGATACAAAAGCAACTTGATTCCGAGTGGGATGAGGGGAAGAGGGACTCAGACTCTCCGGAACAGCCCATGATTCCACTTGCACCACCCGGGGGTCTGCTCCCATACACTTTGCTTCACACCCATTAACTCTAATGGGGTTATTAATACTTATTAAAACCAAGTGTAAGCGCCAGCAAGGTGAAGGCCACAGTCAGGACCTGGATCCTGAAGGAGCTGCTGGCACTGGCGCTTTCCTTTGTCTTTGGAGATCCTTGGGAATACTTTTTGTTCCCCCCTTTTCACACACAGCCTGGTCAGCAGTGCAGCAGGTTTGCAAGGGGGACCTGGAGCCTGCAGGGCCTGCAAGAGCTCATCTCTTCCAGGCATTAGGGATATTAATTACCAATCAGAGCCACATCCATCAGATCATCATCCTCCTCCCCAATGAGGAACTCAGGGCTGGCACGGGGCGGGCGCTCGGAAGCAAGGATGGAGCTGGTGCCCATGGCCAGAGGCTGCTCAGCTGAGATGGGTGACTTGGACCAGCTCTCTGGCTTCAGGCTGTGCGACTTCTTCTTGTCCCTGTCCTTCTCCCGCTCCCGTTCCCTGTCCCGGTCTTTGTCTTTCACTTTCTTCTTCTCTTTTTTATGCTTCTTGTGTTTCTCGGCGCTGTACTCGGGTAAGGGCCTGATGCCATCGTCAGAGCTGGGGCTGTTCTGGTAGGACTTCTCTGCTATGGAGGAGCCCGACTCGCTCTCACTGTCGATGTTCTGGGGAGTGTATGCAGGGGACTTGCTGTGGCTGGGAGAGCAGCGCTCGTGCTTTGGGGTCGAGCCGCTGATGAGAGGGGACCCATAGCTTTTGGAAGAAGCCATCTGAGGCCTGAGGCTGTCCCCACCTCCTTCCCCAGGTTTCTGCAAAGTGACTTTGGCTTTAATGCTGGGGGAACCACCATCGTGTTTGCTGATGATGATTTTGGCCACGCCGGTGCTTCCAACGCTTTTGGAATCCGAAGTTTTCTTGGAAGAGTCAACAGATCCCCCAGAAACAGAGACTTTTGATTTCTCTTTGTCACTCTTCTCACGTTTGCCCTGGAATTCCCCTCCAGACATGTTGTGTTTGGAGGACATCGTATGGCTTGAGGAATTGGAACTTGGCCCCATTTGTCCATCCATTGGGTCATCTCCACCAGGCCCACTAGTGACAACCCCGTGTTTGAGCTTGTCTATGACTGCGGTCAGAGATGGCTTCTTGTTTCTGCTTGGAGACTTGCCTTTGGAGCTTCCATGCTGGTTCTGAGACGAAGACATGGAAGACCCACTGGATGAAAAGGAAGATGAGGACGCCGTCGAGGAATTCGATGAAGGAGGTGGTTTCTGAGACATCGACCCAGAGGATCCCATGCCTGAAGAGGACTTCATACTTGAGCTTGAGCCGGTCCCAGACATGTGGGAGCCTCCAGACCCTGAACTGATCGGAGACTTCGCTTTAGATGATGGGGGAGTACCTGGGACTGGTTTCATGGGAGAAGCAAGCTTCTCAGAACCTCCTGAGGGTCTCGAATGAGACGGGGAGATGTTTGGTTTACTCATGGACGGGTTCATAAGTGACGATGGCTTCCCTTGAGGTTTCATCTTGGTGCTCCCAGAGCCGCTGCTGAGGCCGTGTTTGGTGATGGGGGAGGATCCTGGTTTTCCCACTGATTGGGCTGAGCTTTTGGACTGGCCTGAACTCGAGCTGCCTTGGCCCGAGTAGAGGCTGCTGCTCATCTTGGAGCCTGAAGACCCTTCCGATTTGCTGCTTTTCATCTTGCCTGAGGTTGAAGAGGAGGAAGAAGAGGAGGAGGAGGAAGAATGGCTGTGATGGCTTTTGCTGCTGGAGGAGGTGACGGAGCCACTACTTGTGTACTGGCCGTGCGAAGACGGTTTGCCAACAGTCACTGTTCCTTTTGGGATCTGAATGGTGATTTTGGGGATGGGAGGAGTAGCTACACCAGGAGGAGTCTGAGATCGGCCCGAGCTCCCAGGTGATTTGGACCCACCTGTGCTTGCTGGTGGTGTGAAAGGCCTGTTGGATGAACTGTGAGACGGGGATTTCCCATCTGTCTCCTGCTTCTTCCGCTTGGGAAGCTTCTCTTTACTTTTGCCATCACTGGATGGCGTCCGGCTGCGCTTCCCAGGCTTCCCATCTATCCCGGCTCCTGCCATGGTACTTCCAGAGCCATTGCCTTCCTTTACCCGTTTCTGAGACTTCTCTTTCCCTAAATCCCCTGTGTTCAGCAAAGGGCTCTGCCCTCCACTGTGGTGCTCCATGATGTCCGAGGACCCCAGTGCTTTGCTTGCAGCTGCAATAATACTAAAGTCTACCGTGTCGGACTGAGTGTTCCCCTTGAATTTATTGTCCCCCCCATCACCCCCCAACACTTGCACCCCCAAAGTAGTAAGAGCCTGGGATGCATAACCCTTGAAATCATCCGTGTCTCCACTCTGGCTGCTCTCATCAAAGTATTCCTCCCCAAAGCCGCTTTGACTCTGACTGTTGAGCAAGTCAGGGTTGAAATCTACCCC